GCCTATGAAAACAGCTGTCAACCTTCTCAAGGGCATGTTAGAATATAAAATTATTACCCGCTGGCCATGAATTTAAGTGGATAAAAAAGATATTATTGTGTGAGATTCAAGTTTTAGCCAGTGAAAATGGCGCTCAACTTGTGAGGGCATGTTATAGTACCAAATTATAGCCTTCTGATGCAAAATGATTTGAATATCAAATGAAAATTTGGTTGAATAGTCTTCATTCGTTTGGAAAAATTAGTTAGGGTAGATAAAGTTGTTAGACTATTTTTAGATGTTGATCTCAAAATTTAAATTAAATTTAATCTTTTAAAATATCTGATTTTAGGGAAAAATACTTCCAGCCCCCAAAACCAATGAAAGTGTGCTTCCCGCCCCCCAAGACTTTTTCAACGCTCTTAAAACCCCCAAATTCGTAAGAACTATGCACTGAGCCCCCAAAACACAAAGCCTAAGAATTTTACACAGGTAAAGACTATAATACACATTCTCTCTCTAGACCCCCTCTCTCCTCCCCAGATCACAAGCCCCGCCCTCCCCCCTCCCTCCCTCCTCCCCCTNNNNAGAACGAGCCGAGCCACAGCGTCAGGGCAAGTCGACAATTGGGTGTACGAGGAGGCGAACACGACGTTCATAAAGGATGAGGAGATGCTGAAGAGGTTAATGGAGACGAACCCGAACTCCTTCAGGAAAATGATGTAGACGTTCTTAGAGGCGAGCGGTAGAGGATATTGGGAGACGTCGGAGGAGAACTTGGAGAAGTTGAGGCAGTTGTATTCGAAGGTTGAGGACAAGATTGAGGGGATTGATCGGTGATTAATGTGATTTTGTAAAATTATATGTGACGTTAATTTGTGGGCCGGAGGTTGATGTAATTAATTTGATGCAACTCATCGCACGGTTTCCATAAAATTTTTTGTTGTTTAGTGAAAAACAAGATAAGGGTTCAATGGGAAATTCCCCTAAAGTATTAATTGAAAAGTATACAAAAATGAGTTGTTAAGGTTAGGGTCGGTTGTTAAGGTTATGGGTTGTTAAGGTTACGCGTTGGTTGTTAAGGTTAGGGGTCGATTGTTAAAGTTAGGGGCTGGTTGTTAAGGTTATAGGTTGGGATATATATGTATATATTTTGAGTGATATAAATACTTTAGGCCACTTGGTCTAGTGGTAAAGTTTGGGAGGTTGGACAAGAGGTTACGCGTTGCCAAGCGAGAAGTGATTTACGTGTAGCTTGTTAAGCTTACGGGTTGCTTGTTAAGGTTACGCGTTGGTTGTTAAGATTACAGGTTAGTTATTAAGGTTACGCGTTGGTTGTTAATGTTACACGTTGGTTGTTAAGGTTACGCGTTGATTGTTAAGATTACGGGTTGCTTGTTAAGGTTATACGCGTTGATTGTTAAGCTTATGGGTTGCTTGTTAAGGTTACGTGTTGCTAAGCGATTTACGTGCAGCTTGTTAAGGTTACGCGTTGGTTATTAATGTTACGGGTTAGTTAAGGTTACGCGTTGGTTGTTAAGGTTACAGGTTATTTGTTAAGGTTATACGCGTTGGTTGTTAAGGTTACAGGTTGCTTGTTAAGGTTATACGCGTTGGTTGTTAAGGTTACAGGTTGCTTGTTAAGGTTATACGCGTTGATTGTTAAACTTACGGGTTACTTGTTAAGGTTACGCGTTGCCAAGCAATTTAAGTGTAGCTTGTTAAAGTTACGGGTAAAACTTATACAATGGAAGTTGGGAAGAAGCACCCTTCAACAGAATAAAATAAAAATAAATCAAATTGGGTGAAATTTTATAGCATAATTGTAGACTAACCTATGAACAATCAAAATTTTATACAGACAAGAAATTCGCTGATCACTCTCAACCATAATTCCTATTCTATATTTCTTTTTCTTTTGGACAAAATGAAAATGAAGTGTAGCCGACCTGTATTCGACGTTAGTCCTCGTATCCAATCCCACAGTCTCTGACAGCGTCCTCACCTGCGCGTTCGCAGTCGTCGTATCCACAATGTAGGAGCCCGGCTTCTTCCCGTCCTTCCGGAGGTTCTCCACCAAATTGGTCGGGTCAGAGTCGAAGTAGTGGCTTACGTCGGTCAGCGATATCTCTGATGAGCCCAGGTTTTTGAACGTGGTGTCTGCGGTGCTGAGGGCCATTTCCATAATTCCTATTCTATATTTCTTTTTCTTTTGGACAAAATGAAAATGAAGTGTAGCCGACCTGTATTCGACGTTAGTCCTCGTATCCAATCCCACAGTCTCTGACAGCGTCCTCACCTGCGCGTTCGCAGTCGTCGTATCCACAATGTAGGAGCCCGGCTTCTTCCCGTCCTTCCGGAGGTTCTCCACCAAATTGGTCGGGTCAGAGTCGAAGTAGTGGCTTACGTCGGTCAGCGATATCTCTGATGAGCCCAGGTTTTTGAACGTGGTGTCTGCGGTGCTGAGGGCCATTTCAAAGACATTGCGCTTCCCGGTCATGCCGATGCCTGGAGCGTCACTGTCAAAGGCAAAGGATTTGCGGCTAAGGTAATGTCTTGGAGCTATTTCTCGTCATTCCAGGAGGAATTTTCGACGGCAAGGTTGACGTTGGAGGAGTAGGAGCCGGAGGCATTGGAGAAGACACGGCGCATCGACACACCGAGTTCTTCAGCTGGTTGGCGGGCGTGCTTTCTCACGTAGTTTTGCTCTTCGGACTCATCCAGCTTGGCCACCATCTTCACGGTGGTGGCGAACTCGACGACGACGAGCCTGTCCTTAGCGGCGGCGAGGGCGGCGGTGAATTCTT